GCAGATTTATAGTAGCAGTAATTGCAAAACGTTTCCACAGGTTAAGGAACCAATCACTGACGTGAGGATTTCCGACATAATGGATATCTATGAGCAGAAGCTTTCATCATTAGCTGTGAGTACAACCTAACGTGTATGGATACAATGCTGTTGGTAGATTCAGATTATGTTAATGAATAACATTCTTCCTTTGCACAGTCAAAGGAAACTCGGCTTCAAGACCTTTTGGAAGCTAAGGCTCTGGCTCTGGCTCAGGCTGACAGACTGATGGCCCAGTACCGATGTCAAAGGGCTCAGGCAGAATCTGAGGTGAGTGTGATCTCCTTCTGGGATTCTGGTATCATAGAATCGTAGAATGGCCTGGGTTGGAAGGGACCTCAAGGATCATGAAACTCCAAGCCCCCTGCAGCAGACAAGGCTGCTAAACTCCATATCTAATACTAGACCAGGCTGCCCACTGCCCCATCCAAGGCCTTGAACACCTCCAGTGCCAAGGCATCCACAGCCTTTCTGGGCAGCCTGTTCCAGCCACTCTCTTGGTAAAGAACTTCCCCTTGACATCCAACCTAAATCTTCCCCCCTTCAACTTAAAACCATTTCCCCAGTGTTTTGGGGCAAAGTAAAGACTGTCTGGGTAGCTTTGACTGTATTTGCACATGTGGAAACTCTATACTGTTTAACTAACCTATACTTAAAAATTAGGACAATCTTAATTTTCATTGTAACAATGCAAAGAAAAACGAGATGTTTCTTTGGAACTCTTTTCTTTAATGCCCTTTCATATTAGAAGCCAACAAAACCGTCTTACTGTACGTGAACATTTGTTAGCCATTAGTGTTATTTAATGGTAGTAAATTTAAAAATGAATAAAACCACTTATTAGTATTCTATGTAAATATTACTGGTACATGATGAATGGTTTACTGTTTGTGCCTTTTAACTACTTGTCATTTCATACGAAGACTAACTCTCAAATATATACTGCAGTGATGCAAGCTTTATTTGAGGTGTGCTTTGAAGGTTCATAATTTCTGTTATTCAAATAAAGATTTGATAATTTGGGTTGCAAATTATGGAAGCCATGGCTAAACTATATCATATTTTACTTTCTTTTTTCTCTTCACTTCTAGCACTGGCTATAGAGGGAGCTGAAGGAAATTAGAATGAATTAATTAATTTGTATTTAATACTAGGAGACAGTAACTATTTTCTTAACGTAGCTGATGGCATTTTAGTGTTAGATGTATGACCTCAAATATGCCTATTAAGACATGATTTATAAGACAGAAGTGTTTGTAATTGCTTTTTCTCTTGGGGGATGTTTTCCACTGAAAGGCCCGAACTCTTGCTGCAATGCTGAAGGACGCAGAACGAAAAAATGAAGAACTTAATGTTTTGCTGAAAGCTCAGCAAGTAGAATCGGAAAGGGCACAGACTGATATTGAACAGCTCTTTCAACACAACAGGAAATTACAAACAGTTGCTGAGGAACATGAAATGCTAAAAAAATCATCAGTTGATCTTCTTCAGAGGTAAGAAGCTCAGGATCTTAAAGGAAATTTGAAATATTCAGCTAGAAGGATGAAGGTCCTCAATGGCCTGGTTAAACTGGATGAGAACTGAAGTAGTAGATGTTGAAGATCTAATTCAGGGAATGACAAGAATTTTGTGTATTGCTTTCTAAAACAAACCAACAGAGCTTAATTTCTAATGGTTCTACAGCATGCTCTTGGCTTCTTTCTTTACCTTTTATGCTGTCTTGATGACATGCTATAAACTGTCTAGAGAAACAGTCAGCAAAATATGTTTGTTTAATGTAGGAGTTTGCATGTTTGATTGCTTCTGTAGTAAGCCTGACTGAAATCAAGTGATGTAGGGAGGAAAGATGTACTGTGTGTGTCTTAAATTATTTATAAACATTATTTCCTCAGGATTGTAGGCTAAAAAACACCTAAGGCATGGGAGATATAAAAAGTACATAAGGGTAGAAATTTTTAATGGAGAAATAACATGCTTAGGAAAAATAAAGGCTCAAAAGAGCTTTGGCATCTCAACTTGCATGAGTTGTTTTCATCACTAGATGTCAGCAAGGCAAAGAAGCTGGTAAAATTGAGAGCAATTTACTTGCTTTACAACAGGTGCAGGAATTGTATTAGAAATTTTGAAGTTATATCTCTGCCAATAATAGTCATTCAAGGAGGAAAAATGTTTGCTTGGGAAAATCCATAATGGACGAGATGCATACATCTAGTATAGTCACTGTGGAAGTTCCTCCTTTTCTGCTTGAGTTGTGTTTAATTATATACTCTATGAGCAATTGTTTGGAAGAAAGCATCTTTTAATCTATTATGTAAAAGCTGTAAATTCCCAAAGTTGGAATAAAATAGCTTAGTGATTTTTACACTGGTTTTATAAAGTAAAAACTTGCTTTCTCAATCTGCAGACTTTAAGTGCTGTTCCTTAAACATAACCAGAAAGCTGACATGGGAGGAGAGAGTTTTCCTTTCGGAAAGCAGTAAAGTGATTTGCTTTAAGCGTGAGATCTGCCTCAAACTTTTGTAAATTGTACTTTGCACCATCTTCAGTATTTTCAAGTTCCAGAAATTTGAGCACTGTAGAACTGAAAAGTGTCTCAGAGGATCTCTTAAAAAAAGTGACTACAAAAAGTTTATTTGTAACATTTTGTTCGTATCGAACATTTAAATACATCTCTGTTGGTTTTTTTTTGTTTTTTTTGTTATTCTTGAAGAGTTTTATACTGGAGGAAGGAGGGAAGATCAATAATAATTAATGAAGCTTTTTTTTTCCCCCCCAAGTATGTACATTTTAAAAATGTGTCTTGTTTTTAACTTGAGTGGAGTGGCTGAACAAGAGAAGTCAAGTATTTTTTTTTACAAACTATTAAACTAAAAGCTTTTCAAAAGCACTTATCTTCCACCATAAGCCTCTAATTTATTTGTAGGTATGAAACAACTGAAAGACAACATAAAGATCTACAGATTACATGCAATTCCCTAAATAAGGAAATTGAAGCAATGAAGAAACAAAATGAATCACTGAAGCAGCAGAATGACAGGTAAGTTAGGTTCAGTCTCTAAGCAAATTAAAGAAAAACAGTAAAATTAAATAGCACTTTAGCATTCAATTTGTCAATTATCTGTGCTTCAAGTAGCATATTAGAGGTCTGTTATCCATCATATTTGAAAGGTCATGGCAGTCTGGTGAAATTCCCACTGACTGGAAAAGGGGAAACATATTTCAAGAAGGGAAAAAAGTAAGATCCAGGGAAGTACAGGCCAGTCAGTCTCACTTCTGTGTCTGGCAAGATCATGGAGCGAATCGTCTTGAAGGCCCTACTAAGGCTCATGGAAAATAAAAACAAGGTGATTGTTGTTAACCAACATAGTTTCACCAAGGGTAAGTCATGCCTGACTAACTTGGTGGCCTTTTGTGATGGAGTTACAGCGTCAGTGGCTAAAGGAAGAGCAACTGATGCCATCTACCTGTGCAAAAGCGTTTGGCACTGTCTGGCATGACATCATGGTCACCAAATTGAAAAAAAAAAAGGATTTGATGGATAGACTGCTGGCTGGATAAGGAATTGGCTGGATGGTCGCACCATTACAGTCATTGTCTCGTTGTTCAGGTGGAGACCGGTGATGAGTGGCGTTCCTCACGGATCACTGTTGGGACTGGTTTTATTTAGCATCTCTGTAGGTGACATGGACAGTGGGTTTGAGTGCACCCTCAGCAAGTTTGCAGATGACACTGAGCTGAATGGTGCAGTTGATGCACCAAAGGGAAGGGATGCCATCCAGAGTGGCCTGGATCCGCTTGAGAGATGGGTCCATGAAGTTTAACAAAGCCAAGTGCAAGGTCCTGCACCTGGGTTGGGGCAGTCTCAAGTACATATGCAGGTTGGGTGGAGAATGGCTTGAGAGCAGCCCTGAGGAGGAAGATTAGAGGTTGTCAATTGATGAGAGATTCAATATGAGCCAACAATGTGTGCTTGCAGCCCAGAAGGCCAACCATATCCTGGGTTGCATCCAGAGAAGTGTGACCAGCAGGTCGAGGGAGGTGATTCTGCCCTTCTACTCTGCTCTCGTGAAACCCTATCTGGAGTACTGCTTTCAGTTCTGGGGCCTCCAACACAAGAGTAACATGGAGTTGTTGGAGCAGGTCTAGAGGAGAGCTGCAAAGATAATCAGAGGGCTGAAGCACCTCCCCTGTGAGGACAGGCTAAGAGAGTTGCAGCTCTTCAGCCTGGAGAGGAGAAGGCTCTGAGTAGACCTTATAGTGCCCTTCCAGTACCTGAAGGGGGCCTACAGGAAAGCTGGAGAGGGACTTTTTACAAGGGAAGGTAGCAACAGGACATAGGGAAATAGTTTTAAACTGAAAGAGGGTAGATTTAGATATTACGAAGAAATTGTTTAGTATGACAGTAGTGAGACTGGAACAGGTTGCCCAGCAAGGTTGTGGATGCCCCCTCATTGGAAACATTCTAGGCCTGGCTGGATGGGTACTTTGAGCAACCTGTAGTATGAGGTGTCCCTGCCTATAGCAGGTGGTTGGAACTAAGTAATCGTGAAGGTCCCTTCCAACCCAAACCATTAAATGATTCTAAGTGTAGCTAGAAGAAGCAATAGATTCTTTAGAGTGGTTTTCTATGTGTATATTAGATGAGAATCTGTATTAGTGATTTCTGTGATTTTATTTTTTCTCCTGTGTCGGTTCAGAGCAGGAGGGGATCCCTACAGACTGCAGCAACAGTAGGAATTTAAAAAACAAATGAAAAGAAGTCATTTTGGGAGTGGTTTTTTGGTGGGAGGAAGGAGAGAGTGTCTTGGTAGTCACTGAATTCTTAAATGTTGTTGTGAGCCAAGATTTTCACATATTCCTTTTTGTCCTACAAGGTTTCTCTGTAATATCGTCAGATATCAGCAGAAGTACTTAGATGTTATGTTTGTCTCCTTCTCTGGAAATGATCAGGAACCACTGACCTGTGTGACCTGCTGTAGGCAACCGGCTTTAACAGAAGGGTTGGATCAATGATCTCTAGAGGTCCCTTCCAACCCCTACAATTCTGTGATTCTGTTTTCTGGAAGAACAAGAGAATAGGGACAAGATGGGGGGGAGAGAACCTAATAAATTAATACACTTCAAAATTATACTAGAAATAGGGATGACTGACATTCCGTCCTTGGTGCTTCAACTATAAAGCTAGCGCTACTTCTGTCTTGTTGAGAACAAATTATAACTTTTTTTCTTTCTGATGGCTTAAGATAGAGACTTGGTGTATCTTTCACCCTCTTAGCTAAATAAGTAGGGCTCTTATTTGAGAACTTCTGTTTGATACTTAATTTTGCAGAACACATTTTTAAAATATGCTTACCATCAGACCCTACATTCACTTCAGAGATAAAGTGCTACTCTTGATTTCAAAGTTCACTTCATCCTTCCAGCTTCTTGCCTTGTTTAGTGACTGGGACTGCTCTTGACTTCTGCCTTGAGTTCTGATTCAAATGGAAGACTTTCATTCAGATGGATTTGCTTGTGAATAAATGTGGGCACCTACTTTCATTGGAGCAATATGCAGCTGAGTATAATTGGGGAAGTGTTCTGAGAAGGATCTCCCTTTTTTAAGGCAAATGGGATAGCAGTTGCTGTATAAATATTCTTGATTAGTTACATAAAACAGACTGAACTATCCTTTTCCCCTCTTGTTGCCAGAGGCTGCAGATAAGAAAGTGGATAAACAGGCCAGCAAGAATAACAATAGGTGTCACCTAAATGGGGCAAATGGGAGATGGAATATGCCTTAGAAGTTATGCTAGCTAGCAATGGAGACAGTAATTTAACTTAATGGAGTTTGAAGTGCTTGGGTTACAGCTGTAACACTGGCGGATGACAGTGCCTATATATTTTGTAAGATCTAAATATTATTCTAACTAGTAAAGACTGCAGCAAACTTATGTATGAGCTACAGTGAGATCTTTTGACGCTTCATTTTTTTTCCTGCATGTTGCACAGTTGTTTGGAAATGTTTAGTATGGTATCAGAAAATCCTTATGCACAGATGTGTGCACACAGATGATAACACTTACCTGAAACAAGGTTTTAGTAGTGGCATTGTCAATTCAGGAGCGTACCAAGAGCTAAAAGCCCATATTGTCAGTCACTAATGGCAGTGAATTCTGACTCAGGTTGAAAGGTGATTTCATTTCTGCCATGTGATCTTGAATGTCTTGTGGTTGTAATCAAGAGCAACAGTCTAGGCTGTAGGAAAAAGAAACATTTCCAGAAATTTCCACATTGTCTTAGATTAAGGGAGATAAATAATTTTCATGGGAGGGAAAAAAGAAAAAGACTGGGCTCACACCCGGCAAATTCATCTTTTTGTTGATTTGATTTTTAAGCTCCTGACAAGAGTTACAATTGATGTGAAAATCGTTCTAGCTTCTTAGAGCAAAGAAATGGTGATGTATTTTGCTTTGGCAATTAAAAATTTCTCTCTTCAATATTAGGACTGCTGCACAGTTGGTAGAATCTGAAGAACATAGAAAACAGCTACAGCAACAGCTACATGATAGAGATAGCAAAATAGCAAGTAAGTCATTTAACTAAAAAATCATTATTCCTACAAAGCTCAATTTAAAAGATGCAGTTATGTGCTGTAGAAAAGCAGCAATGTTTTTCTTAGTAACTTGTAAATCTAAAGGGTAGCCAGCCATGTGTAATTTGACAGTTGATGAGACAGATATATCTTTGTGTATTTAAGAAAATATAGATATATTTTTCCAAGACTATATAAATATATTTTTTCCAAGACTATATTGATTTCACTAAATCCATACACAGCATGATTTGTGCTTTCTCTTCACAGCATGTCCATTTAGACCCATTTTCTGTGGGAATCGCAAATTGAAAGAGTTCAATTTAACTCTTCAGCAAGTACCAAAAAGCAACTGCTAAAACTTAGCAGTAGGTGGCACTCAGTAGTGCACTTATTAGCAGCTATGTTCAGTACTAAAAATGTGTATATACTTGTTTCTGAGGCAATACAGTATCTCTTTTTTTAAGATGGACAACCCATGTTTTAACATGTTGGTTTTTGTAAGGCTTGCAACAGAAAATGAAAGTTCTGGAAGAAAAACTGAAAGCTCAACAGAAAGAAAAAAACAATATGGAAGAAACTGTTGATGTTCTTAGAAAGGAGTTGAGCAAAACAGAACAAGCGAGGAAGGAACTGAGTATTAAGGTAAGGAATTATTTCCACCTGCACGCTACAGACTGGAGTTTTAAGTATCTATATGACTGATAGAGCTGAATAATCATTATTTCGGTTTCGAAGTGACTCAATAAAACTAGAATTGACCCTATAGTGAAGAAGAATGAACTCTTAATTATATAACTTTTGAGTTTCTAATAGCTAAGCTTGAATTTAAGAGCAAAGTCAGAGTCTAAGGGCTGTGCGAAACATAGTCTACATTGTATTTGGAAAGAAAAAAAAACTGTGGTGCAATATTAAGTAAGTAAACAGCACATTCCTCTTCAGTTTCTAGTTGTCTACTGTGAGTAGAGTTATTATATATATAAAATCTGAGTTATTTGTTGTTTTTTTTGTTACTGTTTTTTTCCTTCCCCTTTCTTGCAGTCTGCATTAGGATACTGCATAGGGATGTACCAAAACACTTCTGATTTTCTTGATCTTTGAAATTCTAATAAAACATTTAATTTTCATCTCCAAGAAAAAGAATGTCTTCTCTCAAAGCAGAAATAGAGACCAGTTTGGCCATACTCCGAAGTTAACAGGATAATGTGTGGTTCATTTTACATAAAAGCTAATCAGTAATCACAAAGAAGTATGCAGTCTGTCAGAGCATTTACAGTATTCCCACTCCCTAGGACAATGCTATGTAGTATACAGCAAATACTTCCCATCTTCTTGGTAAATATTTATCAGTGTGTGGACTGAAATGAAACATGGATGGATGAACTGTGAACATTTTTGTTACTTAAACAGAAGAATGATAACGTGGGGTTTAGTGCATCCAATTGGTATGCAATGTTTTGAAGTGCACCAGTTGCTGTAAAACGTCCATGTACACCAAATGTACACCTGAAGAAAGTATTTCTGAAACAAAGTTGTAATTAATTGCTTGCTTAAAGTCATCACCAGACTACTTAGCTTTTACTGTATGTTTTTTCAGTTAATGATGGAGTGAATAGTAACATTTTGGCTGTTTCTGCAGGCATCTTCTCTGGAAGTTCAAAAATCCCAATTGGAAGTACGCTTGGAAGAAAAAGAAGCACTTGTAAAATTACAGAAGGAAGAACTGAACAAACATTCCACTATGATTGCAATGATTCACAGTCTAAGTGGTGGCAAGTTAAGCACAGAAGCAGTGAACCTCAGTTTATAGGCCTCTTGTCATCTAGGTTATAGTAGGAAATACATATGAATTAATGTATGTACAAAAACTTTTTAAAACATGAAGCTAATATACTATCTGGCTAAAGAAGAGTCACCTAAAAACTGCAGTAGCTCAATATCAATTGAGAATAAAAGACAGAATTATGGAAGTTCTTTTTGAAAACACTGAGCTACTGTACAGCAAATAGATGTTCTGACGATCTTGGTAGATCTATTATTTATTTGTACTGGGACTTGGATATAACTATTGTTGGTGACTAACCTTCCTAAGTGGATAGATAGCAAAATGGGAGTCACTCAGCCTTTTTGTTAATTTACTCTGCTATTGGCCATCAGGAAAGCATTTTTCATAGGGTAAGTGCTTTCATCATTTAATCTTGATAATTTTCACTCTTCTGAATACCACCTATTATTTGTGCAGCGTTGCTTTCTGATGCCTAAGGCACAAGAATAGAAATAAAATGGATTATGTTAATTAGAATGTGTTATATTGAAAGCTGTTTTTCAGCATATTAGTGCAAATACTTCCTGAAATAAATATGCGGATGTGTTTCTAATTTTGAGGAGATTAATTTGAGCAAGCAGAGCACTGAATTTGAGTGATTTTTTAAAGTAGAAATGTTTAGAGAAAGCATGCTAAAATGAAATACATGAATGCAAAAATATTTCTTAAATACTAGGTAATGCTTTCCTATGTCACTTTTTTCATTCTTGCCAAAGATTCTGCAGTTTTTTAACAGTCCTATCTGATACTTTGTTAGCTGCTGTCAACGTTGCCACTTTCTGCTCAAACAGGATTTCATATATTTTTTATAGTATAACTATTTAGGAAATTTCTTCTAAAGGATACTTTCATATGCATGGCTGAACATTTTCCTGTCCTTAGTTCAGATATGACATGAATGTCTTTTAGCAGTTGTCAGAATTTCTTCATTAATGTACGTATTTTGGTAGAACTACCAGAGTTTATTTCGTATATGTCCTCTTCTGTAGCATTACTAGTTTTATTTGTATCTAATTTGTTATGACTAGGTCTTAAAACCTTCCATTGTGTTGCAGACGTTTTACTGAATCTGCTCAACTCACAACTAAGTATAATGTTGTGCATTCAGTTGCAATTATACAAGTCATATGAATTGTATCTATTTTAACCTGTTTCTAAAATGTACTTATTTTTATGTCTTAATGTCTACAGCTTTAACTTATGGTTGTTCTGGTCTCCGTGAAGACTAGGTGAATAAAAAACAAATTGCTCTGTGTCTTATGTATTCTGCTAAGTGAGGTAAATTAGTATATAAAACATGTTGTTTGGCTCCCTTTTTGCATAAAACATCATTATTGCTTAGAATGGTCAGAAAATAGGTGTTAAAAATGCTGAGTTGAGGGTTTCTGTTAGTTTTGCAAACCCAATTGGGAAAGAAAGCCTCATTAACTATAAATTTCTACTTTAGTGTAGTGGATTAAGAACTTTGAGAGTCAAAGTAAGTTTGCAGACATGAATTCGTTACTATTTCAGTCTCTTGGTCACAGGGAAAGGGCAGCTGAATGCTTTTTTTCTCACTTTCTGCCACAAGCTACTCTTAAAAAAAAAAAAAAAATCAAGTAGAAAATGTCAAGCATGTTACTAATTAAACTGATGATGGTTTAACTTTGATTTCAGATGGTGCACTGGAGGGCCAAAATGGCATGCTGCTCAACAAAGTAAGGTTATACTGTTATGAGGCTCATGGGCCCAGAAAATATTAGATGATGAATCCTTGGAGTTTACATTATAGAATCCACAGTAAAATATTTGTATTGTGGTATACACATATTGATTGTTGCTTTTTTTTTTTTTTCCCTTGGAAAAATGTGCTGTGTCAATATGCTTTTCTAAGCCAAGTGTCACTGAACTCTGTTGGGACACACTACAAATGTGTAGACATGTCTAGCTGCCTTGACAGTATTTCTGTGTTCCTTCCTGGCAGTGTTTTCTCAGTCAGTAATGAGTAGTGGCTAACAGAACTAGCAAATAAGTTGGTTTCTATTTAAAATTTTCTTCAAAATATGTAGCACTTCTCAGTGTGTTGTGTTGATACAGCAGAAGAAAGGAATGCTGTCCAGAGGGACCTTGATAAACTGGAAAGGTGGGCCCTGGTGAACTTAATGGGGTTCAACAAAGCAAAACGCAAAGTGTTGCACTTGGGTCGAAGTAATCCCAGATGTATATACAAAATGGGAGATGAACTTCTTGAAAGTAGCCCTGCTGAGAAGGACTTAGGACTCACAGAATCACAGAAACACCAAGACTGGAAAAGACCTACACGATCATCCAGTCCAACCATCCCCCTGTCACCAGTAGTTCTCACTAAATCATATCCCTCAATGCAACATGCAAACATTCCTTGAACTCCTCCAGGGTCAGTGACTCCACCACCTCCCTGGGCAGCCCATTCCAGTGCCTGACTACTCTTTCAGAGAAGTAGTATTTCCTAACGTTGAGCCTGAATTTCTCCTGGCACAGCTTGAAGCCATTCCCTCTAATTCTGTCACTAATTACAGGAGAGAAGAGGCAGACCCCCAGCTCACTAAAACCTCCCATCTGGCAGTTATTGCTTTCTCTAAGGTCTCCCTTGAGCCTGCTCCAGACTGAACAATCCCAGCTCCTTCAGCTGCTCCTCATAAGCCCTGTGCTCCAGACCCCTCATCAGCTTTGTTGCACTTCTTTGAACCTGCTCCAGGGCCTCAATGTCTTTCTTGCAGTGAGGGGCCCAAAATTGGACACAGTACTTGAGGTGCGGCCTCACCAGAGCTGAACACAGGGGTCCTGGTAAATGAAAAGCTTAGCAACCAGAGGCGTGTGCACTCACATGGAAGGCTAATGGTATTGTAGGGTTCCATCAGAAGAAGGGTGAGGAAGTTGACTGTCCCCTTCTGTTCTGTCCTCATGAGACCCCAGCTGGAGTAATGCGTCCAGTCTGGGATTCCCAACACAGGAAAGATATGGGGCTTTTGGAGAGGGTCCAGGGGAGGGCCACAAAGATGATCCAGGGTTGGTGCACCTCTCCTATGAAGAGAGGCTGAAGGAATTTGCTCAGCTTAGAAAAGAGAAAGCTGTGGGGAGACCTCATTGAGGCCTTCCAATATTTAAAGGTAGTTTATAAACAAGATGGAAATCTTTTTACAAGGGTAGATAGTGATAGGACAAGGGGGAATTGTTTTAAACTCAAGGAAGGAAGGCTTAGATTGGATGTCAAGGGGAGGTTTTTTACTGAGAGAATGGTGAGGTTCTGAAACAGGTTACTCATAGAGGCTGTGAATGCCCCATCCCTGGAGATGTTTAAATCCAGGTTGGATAGGGCTCTGGGCAGTTTTATCTAGCACTTGATCTAGCAGCTGGCAGCCCTGACAGTGGCAATGGGATTGGAACTTGATGATCCTTGAGGTCCCTTGCAACCCAAGCCATTCTATGGTCTATGATATATAAATAAAAGAAAAATAAATCAGTCACTTTTTACACCCTGGGCAGTTCTTGTTGCACATAGTGTGCTATTGAACTATATTTTTTTTCCACAGGCTCTCTCAGTTAGTGCAGAGAGCATCTGGCACAACGAACAGCTCCTCAATAGAGTCGATTTTTAATTATGTGTGTGTTGTGTCAGGTTGTCAATTGCCTGTTTTACAAGTGCAGAGACACTTGAGCTGTCTTAACTCAAAGCACCATCAAATCTCATTATTGGGCACTCTAGTACTTTTTATCTGACAGTGGATGCCTTTTATCCTATATAATCTGGAGAAGGTTTTCACTCTGCATGTGGTTCTGAATAGCTTTGTACATGAGTCCTGCTGGTGGAAAAAAAATAGTTCTTTTTCTATAGCTTTTGATTGCTGTTCTATTCAGCTCATTTTTTATGTACCTCTTTGAGATGATGAGACAATGAACAGTTGTGAGCTGATGCCCTTCAACACATAATATGTTCTATGTTGTCTTCATCTTACTGTTCCCCTTCTCTCTGGTCTTAACTCTGTGTCCTCTGCTCTTTTTCTGCCTCCCTGCTGTTGATTTATTCCAGGCTTTCACTTTTTCGTACTTTCCCATCTCTCCACCCCTTTCACCACTGACTCTAAGGGACAGTGCTCTACCCCTTGCTTTTACCTGATGAAGTCTAGCTTGCATTTAAATCTGGAATCTTCTCTTGTGTGCTATTTGGATCTGATAGTATGGAGTCTTTTCCACCTCTGGATAAAAAAGTTGGCTTCACTCAAACTTCGAAGTAAGAACGGTTGGTCATCTTTGTGAACAAAATGGAACACAAAGCTTTTCCTGAACCAGTCCACATGCCAACACTGTCCTCCTGCCATGTTCACTGCTGTTACCAACAAGACAGAACATATCTTTATTGGCATGGTCAAAATATCTATGTTGTTCTACTTGTGTTATCGAATGGGCAATGTAACGTACACTAAACAAAAAAGCCTTTCCTCACAGGCATATGAATCCTTGTCATAGTATATCCTAAGTTGGAAAGAATCTACAGGAATCATCGAGTCCAATTCCTGGCTCCACACAGGACCACTCAAAAATCAGAAAGCTTGGCTGGATTTTTTTTTTTCCCTTCATGCTCTGACTAATGTCCCGCACAAATAATACAGCTTTTGAGCCTTACAAATTGAATGCCAGGCACTGCTTTAAGAAGTGATCCTAAGTGCAAGCAGTGGTAAGTAAATCTCTCTAAAATGAGCGATACAGTTAACCTCTTTGATGGATACTCAGAAAGTCGTACTGTTTGTAAATCATAGGACTTATTTAGAAGTAGTGTAAGCAAAATATAAAATTCTGCATTAAGAAGTCTGAAAATCCACTTACTGTACTCCTTCATCGGTACCTGAAGCGTTAACTGCTGACCAGGAGTGATGCACTGTTTGTGCTTATGATTTTCTTGATTCAGACATGAGTGTGTACTTCTCCAGGAATTCTTTAACAGTGCACTTTTCTGAAACAACTGCAAGTGAAAATGAAACAAATTCTATTGAAACTATGACACTCAGCCTTATGGGTCTGGTTTGGCTTAAGCGGTCTTGTAAACATTTAAGGAGGTGCTTTCTGCTTTTTCTTACAAGTAGTTATTGTTAGCAGCCAAATATATATTTTTAGACAAGTACTTGTTTCACAAAAAATGCTTTCAACCTTGCAAATCTGGTTTGTATGTAAACAAAGTGCTCTGTGCACTCCCATCTTGTTATTTTTGAGATCATCAATTTTGTCCGCTCTCTGAAACAGGCTTCCCATCCGGCTTTCTCACCAGTTTCCCTTCTGCAGGGCGATGAAGGTGGGATCAGTCTGTTGTCTTTACAACCCTAGTGATGCATTTTTGTATCTCTATGCTAGATAAACTGGATCATTTTCTAGGAGTACACAGGAATGAGGCACAACGTATTAGGCTGAATTTTGCTGAACTGAAAACTGTATAGCTATTCATGCAAATATCCTGGTAATCCTGGACCAAGCCTAACAGCTGGAACAAGGAGCTTTTCCATTTTCCAATGGCAAATCCCAGAATCACAGAATTACCTGGGTTGGAAGGGACCTCAAGGATCACGAATCTCCAACCACCCCTCCACAGGCAGGGCCACCAACCTCCCTATTTAATACTAGACCAGGCTGCACAGGGCTCCATCCACCTGGCCTTGGACACCTCCAGGGATGGGGCATCTACAGCCCCTCTGGACAGCTTCTTCCAAGTAACTGAGCTTCCAGCATCTCACCACTCTCATAGTAAAGAACTTTACTAGAACCCTGACATCCAACCTAAATCTACCTTCATTCAACTTAAAAAAAAAAAATAAAATCTGAATTGTTTGGTCACTGCAGAAAATAGGCAACATCTTAATCAAAGGAGGGAGCCATCCCTGAAGAGAAATAATAGGGTGATATGATCTTCATTTTTGTACCCACCTTCTGCCTAAATGTGCTGTGCCTGAGGTTCTCATCCTTGCAGTCTCTTAAACTCGTCTTCCTAAGGAACAACCTTATGTCCCTTTTGGCATACTGCTCTTTGACAGCAGTCTGGGCTGGTGAGCTGGTGTTTGCTTGCTGGAGCGTTTTGCTGTCTTGTAAAGGGGAACGAAGAAGGAGAGACGGCGTTTTCCTTCTTTTCCAGTTTTGTTTGGCTTTATGGCATTTGTCTGCAAATAAAAGTAGGGAATTCCGGGAGCTCTTGGCAAGAAGTCTCAGAAACAAACTCTTCAGTGTCTGATAAACATGAAGATGGATTATACACCCCTTGTCGTGAGCTAGGGAACCCAGGTAGATGGCAAGTAGAACTGTGATCTTGTGGGATGTTCCCAGCATATTCCAGGAAGTGAAAAGTAGGGTGGAGGGAAAGGGAGAATATTGTCTTAAATAAGTTGATAGGAGTGGAAAAACCCCAGATTTCCTTGGCTAAGCCACTGCAGCATAATAATTGGTTGCAGCTTTCTTTTAATGTGGCTGACTTGTGTTGCGGAGCCTTTGTTCTTACTCCAGCCTGCAGGCTGTCACCTAATACGCACTGATTACATTCTGTAGGATCCCGTCCCTTTGAGCCAAAGTACATCTCTGAGAAGGTTATCTCTGCGTGGAAAGCAGACACCTCGCAATGCTGAGATATCCCGCATAGCAGGAAGGGCTAGCCCTTGGTTCCCTCATATGTATCTGAGCCTTTATGAGAGAGTAAATATTGCTTTAGTGAGTTTTCTTCCAAGTAACTGAGCTTACAATGTGTTTTAGGGGTTTGCGCTGCATTAAGTTATTAAAAATTCATTTTGTGGGTAAGCAGCTGTTGTTTTGGCTCAGTTTTACTTCACAATAATCTATTTGGATGTATTATTTGCTCACATTGATACTCAAGCGTTGCATTTCGGCCGTGTTTTACAGTGCAGCCAAAAAAGTCTTACAACCTTTGAAGGAAGTAAAAGGCCGTTGTACTTTAAAAATCCAGAGGCTTACAATAAGCCCCAGTGAAAAAAAGTCTAGTGCTGCTCAGTTACAATATTTTGTTTAATCTTAATGGGGGTTGGGGCCATCGTCAAGAGCCCTTTCTGCTGCTTGTGTGCCATATCAAGTGCCTTAATTGTTTCTCTTTTTATCTCTTGAGGATAAGGCTGAGCAAAACGTCTTTGCTTTATCACATATCTAGCAATTGAATTTGAATCTAAGTTTTAAAAGAGGCCTTTAATTTTCTTTATGTTCAAGGTGAGGCAAATTAATACAGGTTCTTTGTTGTTGCCTTGCGTGTAATTCTGCAAAGGCCAAGCAAATTCCTTCATGCCTTTCACTGGCAAGAACAAAAGTATCTTTTACTGGGGAGGTGTCAGTACACTGGGAAGCAGAATCCTGTGCACACGGGGCTTTTGTCACTCCTTGACCTGTTCAATGTCCACGGCTGAAGTGCTATGTATTTTTAGGCTTAGTGCACTTGAGAAGCACAATCTTTGGGCTGACAGGTACAAGGTGGCTGTATTTCCCTGGAGGGGTTACAGGCCTTGGGCAATGCCAAGATAAACATTGCCACTCTCCCTGTGAGCTGGATGTGGCCACAACAGTACATGCTCGGACATCTGCTGCTGTGCCCAAGCACTTGTGCGTATGTGAAGAACCTGACCTGTAGCTATATATCAAATGAAAATAAAATATCTAATGCATAGCCTCCTATTCATCACTTAACTTCATTACAGTACTTATCATAGTGTACCTCCCCACAATTCCCTTATGTTACCAGCAGAGATCCAAGAAACAAATAGAGTTCCTTATGTGAAATGTCAAAACTCACTATTTTATACATGCATGAACAAATATGCCTTTATACAAGTATCCATATCTCTAAAAAGTGGTTCTTGGTAGCACTGGCTGTGTCCGTGGCACATAGTACATTCATGCTTCTACTCAGCATTTCTTGCAGGCTTCTGCAAGACAAGAGCATTTCACAGAGCTGCAGGGGGCCTCTAGAGATCACTGTGTCCGAGCCCCTACTATAGCAGAGGGAAATATCCAGGCAGGTCTTGGATACCTCCAGAGAAGGAGACTCCACAGCCTCCCTGGGCAGCCTTTGCCAGTGCTCTGTTGTCCTCAAAGTAAAGGAGTTCTTCCTCATGTTTGTATGGAACTTCCTGTGCTCCAGCTTGTGGCTGTTGCCCCTTTTTCTGTTGCTGCACATTGCTGAAAAGAGTCTTGCCTCATCTACTTGGCCCCTGCCCTTAAAATATGTATGAAGAGCAATGACATTCAGCCTTCTCTTCCCCAGGCTGAACAGTCTCAGGTCTTTCAGTCTCTCAGTCTTTCCTCATACAAGAGATGCTCCAGGTCCTTAATTATCCTTGTGCCCCTTTGCTGTACTCTTTCAAGAGGATCCCTATATTGAACTGGGGAGTCCAGGACAAGGATGTGGCCTCACCAGGGCAGAGCATAGAGGGAGGATCTAGATCAAGGACCTCTCTTGACCTGCTGGCCATGCGCTTTTAATGCACCCCAAGATACAGCTGGCCTTCTTGGCCACAAGGGCATGCTGCTGACTCATAGCCAACCAGGATTCCTAGGTCCTTCTCTGCAGTGCTCTTCTCCAGCATGTCAGCCCCCAGCCCATACTGACATGTGCAGGTATTCTTCCCTAGATGGAGGACCCTACTTTCAACCTAGTTTCACTGAAAATACAGCCAGCTATAGTGATTGCCTGTCCGAAGGTTAGTGTGAATGCCTCGCTTGCTATCACGCAGCTGCTCTGTGGCAAAGTGTACTGGCTTGCTCACGCAGCCAGCAGTTACTTGGATCTCAAAATCATCCTCCTTTTTTCACTTCTGAGTCATGTAGAAGTGTTGCTGATACAGAGTGAAGGGGGCAAGCCGACAGCAGTATCTGCCCCGTCACCTGCCTGCCTTCCTTCCCACTCAGGCCTCCCTCATATGCAGGCCTCCCTCATGCACAGTGAGGCACAGCCCCGGGGGAAAATAGCATCTAATCACGTTGCTGAGCAGGGAGTTTGTGCAGGCAGGTGCTGGAGAGAGGTCGTGCAGCCTCCCATTTTAGTTCTATTTCTGAAGCCAGGAGTACTCAAATAGCATTTTTCCTTTCCCCTTTCTCTCCTGCTCCTAAGCCTTGTTTATTAGAATTCTAACAACTCAGTCTGCTACCATTATCTTTATTCATGAGTCGGTGTGAAGAAAGGACAGGAGCTAGACCTAAACGGCAGATAAAATTCTACTAGCTTACTGAGTCTGCACGCAAGGATGAGTACAAAAGACTGCTAAATCATAGAATCATAGAATGGTTTGAGTTGGAAGGGACCCTGAAGATCACCCATGATGAGATGACTTGCATTACAGAAACTGGAATATCACCTCCCCCAAATTCTCCCATTTCTCAGACTTTAAGGTAGAAAGTGATCCAAGGAGAAATGAAAGGAATGGTGCTAATCTCTGCTAAGTACTTTCCATTCATCATAGTGTTGAAGTGCGATTAAAATTTTAAAGCAGGTAGAGACGAGTGCCAGACTTTGGCTGTTGTTCAGTGATAATATTTTCCTGGATTTCTCCCAGACTCTGTCACAGGCGAATCTAACATGGAGACATTGGATGAGAACCCCAGATGGATGAAATATTAAGCAGTGATTATTCATACCACTGATAGCAACTGGTAGGTTTTTGTTAGATGGGCACACCTTTGGGATGTTAGATGCCTCACACCTTTGGGATAATCAACACGTTATTATGTTGATCAATAACAATCAACAGATTATTATTATGTGCCAGCTGGACTTTGGTAGCATCTTCTACACTTGTCCATAGCCCAAGGTAAAGTTGAGCTCAGCAATTAAGGTCAAATCTCTTTTACTGACAGATAAAATCTGTTGCTTTACACTGTTCATACTGATGGTCAGCTTCCATTCCACTCAGCAAGGTACTGTGGAACAGCAGAAAATTGCAAGAGCTTTGAGATTTCTCTTAAACTACCCATACTCTTCCTTCATGCAAAGGTCTCTGCTATCTCTTTAGCACTTTCTGGAGACGGAGGTAGGACTTGCCCTCTTCTAGGCACAGCTCTGCTACCAGCTGAATCAATTATATATATAAACACAGCTGTGTGCAATGATCTCCAGCTGAAACAGTGTTTGCTGTATGCACTATTGAGGTAACTTTGCTCAGCTCTGCTCTTTGAAGTGCAAGTGAACTTTCCTCTTTAAAATGTTTTTGTCTCCATAACGGGTAAGAAAGGATGTATTTATTTTTACCTGTTTTGAAATGGATAAAAACTTAGTGTGTCTGGGGCTTGAGTTCATATCTTGGGTGCCAACACTTGTACATGCTGATGTGTGCAAGTGAGACTGGATTTTTTTATCTTGTGTTAAAGGCTCTGACACACTTCTATCTTTCAAACACTACATGCTAAGTGTCGTCAGATGTGAGATTTTTAGGCCAACAAAATGCTAATGTAAGGCTAGTTATAAGCTCATCTCACTGTTAAACTCCATGAATTCATTCAAATTGTTTTCCAATGTCTTTTAATACCTCAACTGGGACTTTTGTTTGGAGATATTACTGTACATTACTGTTGTATTTCAGTAACCCTATTAAGCAGAGAAAATATTGGCTGTTCTATATGGACTCAAGTGGATCGATAACAGATACATGTGACATGTTGGAAAACCACTTACAGGCCAATAGGCAAGGTCACTCCATGTCATTGCTGCAGCATGTCACAGAACAGCAGAGCCAGCTCTCCTGCCCGTGTTCTTGCAATCAGGAGAAATGTAAGCTCCTCCTCACAGATCCATGCATACCTGTCCTTCAGAAGAGCAGGAGAACTTGGAGGGAGGATCTGGTTACTATGGCTGTATGTTTTGCTCATTCTGCATGGAGAAATCAAGCCAATGATAGCTGTGCACGTTAACTTCATTTGTATAGGAAGGTAACTCACTGCTGGCAGCTGCGTGAAGCTGCTGAGCTAAAATCCAACTTTGTTCATACCAGTCAATGACTTAAAAGTTTTTGTGCATTTTAAAACAATGCATGATGAATGCTGCAAAACTTTGGGTCCTTTGTCCTCCTGAAGGCACTTTTTGTTCCACAAAAGGTGAGCTCAGCTTCCTTGCCTCTGTGCCACTACTGATATTCTCACCGAGGAAGAAATGTCACGTGATGACCATGGACTGGTTGGCCAAATGGGCTCTGGTATACAGAATTATAGAATGGCGTGGGTTGAAAAGGACCACAAAGATCATACAGTTTCAACCCCCTTGCTATGTGCAGGGTAACCAACCACCAAACCAGGCTGCCCAGAGCCACATCCAGCCTGGCCTTGAGTGCCTCCAGGGATGGGGCATCCACAATCTCCTTGGGCAACCTGTTCAGTGTGTCACCATCCTCTGTGTGAAAAACTTCCTCCTAATATCTAACCTAAACCTCCCCTGACTTAGTTTAAAACCATTTCCCCTTGTTCCTATCACTGCCCACCTGTGTATACAGTTACAGTACGGAATATGACAAAAC